ATCATTTCTCATGACATCACTTATATCATATCCTATAGCATATACTTTGTTTTCTTATGTTCACATAAATCAGGTCGCATATTTAATCACATATCACATGTTCATATAATCCTTTATGTTCATATCATATTACTTATATCATATTTTTATATAATCACATAGATCATTTATACCAGTTCACATGGTTATCACACTAACATGAATTCATACAGATCATATAACCTATACAATAACATATAATATATATCACTTATATCACATCATTTATATACTAATTTAATTTTTTTACTTAGTTCAGTTTCACATGAATCCTATAATCTTCTCATATGGATTCATAGTTCTTTCACTTTATAACTCATATATCATAGTTTCATTTAAACATATAAATCTTTCTCATATAACTTATCTTATAGGTTCGTATCATCACTTATGTTCATGTCTCCTAATTTATATATTATTCTCATATTATCCTATAGGTCAATACTACTTATTTTATCTCACTTTTTATTTAATCATATAATTTCATTATACTAGTTCACATAGATTATTATACAATCATGTATTTGCCTATCTCATGATCATATTGTTTATATCACATTTTCACATACTTACATAGATCAATATTATACAACAAAGAATATAACCATACATGTCCATATCCAAATAGCTATCAACCATACTTATATTTATGAACACCTAAAACCTATATCAACCTACTCTTATTCATGTAATCATGAAAGCAATTCATTGGAAACAAACTCATCACAAGTCTAATTTCCATCTAATCATATACCATAGTAATATGCATTCACCTTAGCTTCACTAATCCTATCAACTTCTATAATTCTTTATCTCTCTCTTGATCGATCTTATCTCTTCGACTGATCCAGAACCTGCTTATGTTCGATACTACACCAATGTATATTTGATACGAATATTAGAATTATAAACATTATGGATCAATCATCAATATTCTGAACTAAAAGAAGTACCAACTTCACATTTTCACCTTGAGTAGTATCGGTACCCAAGGTATGGTACCGATACTTCCCTAGTTGTGGTATCGATATCGAACCTTGGTATCGATACCCTTTTCCGACTCTAGAATCCTTATTTCAAAATGGTATCGATACTTGCCTTATGGTATCAGTACCCTTGGTATCGATACTACCCTTTAGGAATCAATACTCCTTGAATAATTTATCCACTTTATTGCTTGTGGCATCGATACTGTTCATACAATATCGATACATTTAACCCAAATATCATCTATTTCTCTTTGAAGTATCAGTACTGGATGAATTAGTACCGATACTCTTTGCCCAGAAGTCATTCTTTTAACCCGAAAATTTCCAATACTTCACCTAAGCTTCACTTTTATAACATCTTTTATACCATTAAACTCAACTATATTCACTTTAGCCATCTTTTATCTCTCTAACATATCATTATCTTTAATATCTCACCATAATTCTTGAAACCAAGAATCCTACTAATTTTTCAATATGCTCTAATTTCATTTCTAACACTTCATACTTCTTAATATAAACTGATGACAAGTCAAATTTAATCTTAAACTTTACTTACTAACTTCTTTTCACAATTTCACTTAATCACCTCTTATATTAAATCCCTCCTAACTCCTTCATCTATTGGTTTTAAGAAATCTTAAGCTTTCCTTAAGTTTAAGTATTATCTAAAGAACATCAACCAATCTTAAAATTAAGAAATAATCGACGAACATGGAACTCACCTTTCCAAAAGAGGTTTCACAGCTGAAGGAGGAAGAAAGATGGAGATAGTTCTCGATATTTTCCTTTTTCCCCTTCTTAAGCTCCACGTGTATATATTATAACCCATACCAATTTTTAATTCATTTATTGGTCAAATGACCATTTTGCCCTTCCAATCATTCTTCTTTGCCATTTAGTTCTACACAAAATTTTCCATTTAAGTTCTTGAACTTTTCAATTTATCTATTTTAGTCACTAAATTCTAAAATTTTACAATTTGGTCACTAACCCGATATTTGGGATGTTACACATCCATATCGGTATGAATTCGGCTAGATTTAGATCGACCATGTAACTTCCTACGCAATCAAGGATTTGGTAACCATTCATCATAAATTGTTTATGTATGCCAGTATGCTTCATTTAGGAGGTATTTAAAGTCACAACTGTAAATGTTGCGCATAGTGTCCAGGCTATAACAGTCATCAGCATATAAGTATGGGTCAATATTGATGTACATACATGTAGCAACAGCGTGAGCGCATGAGAACCTAGAAGCTTGAAATCTACCACAATCACACCATCTTATATTCAGATTACAAGTGTAGGTTGTAGAATTACCTCCCTCATGTGGTCGAACTAGTGCTTGGAAAACAAAATCAGAATCAAGTATGGCAAAATTGTAGACAAACATTGATGTCGAATGTGTTTGATTCTTTTGCATTGCCTTTTATAAATCTGGAGCCTAATTTCTCTCATCGCTGATCATGGCATCAATTTGTGCACTTTTGTCTGCCCATACTTTGCCCAACCTAAAGTAAGTCTCCCTAATAATACTTGCTATCGGGAGATGTCGAGTCCCTTTCAGCACTGAGTTGATACATTCAGCAAGGTTGGTAGTCATATGGTCGTAACATTGACCCTCAACATCATATGCTTGTGACCATATCTCCCTTGGTATTTCAGCTGCGAACTCATACACATCATCTCCGTATCTTCTCAAATTTTCATGTCGTGCACGGAAGTTTGGTTAGAGTAAAACATACCCTAAAAAGTAGTAAATTAAATGTTATTGAAGAAAAACATTAATGAACCAGAAATAATTAATGAAAAATGATAAGGTACTTACACAAGTTGATAATCTCATTTTTGATATTTTTCTTCTTAAACGTATTCATTACATTCGACGCGATATGTCGTATACAATATGCATGATATGCATGCAGTGGCGTCCATCTATTTTAAGGTCTACCAATTGTGCTTAACAACCCAGTTGACTGATCTGAGATCATGCATACCCCTTCTTTAGTGACAACATGAGAACGCAAGTTGGAGAGAAAGAAATTCCAAGTTTCCTCCGATTCATTTTTAACAATGGCGAAGGCAATGGGGAAAATATTTATGTCTCCATCTTGTGCAACGGCTATCATCAAGACTTGTCTATAGAGCCCATACAGAAAAGTGCCATCGACTTGAATCATTTGTTTGCAAAATCTAAACCCTTCGATAGCTGGCTTAAACGCCCAGAACAAGCCACCAAAAATTCTCTTCCTGAGGATAACATCTCCCTTAAGCGTGACTGCAGGATGATTATATTACCTAACAATGGTTCCAGGGATGAAAAATTTCATTGCTTGCAGCAGACGTGGTAGCTCATTATATGACTGATCCCAATCACCATACAACAAGGTCATTGTTTTCCGTTTAGCCATCCATGTCTTGTAATAAGTCAAAATGTAACTAAATTTATTTCGAATGGATGCCACTAACACAGAAATGGACACTCTTTGATTTTTTTTCCACCAACAGCTTCACATAAGAGCATATGATATACGAATCTAAATGTTTGTGGTCTTGTGTCAAGGAGGTCATTGTACATGCGTGCTCTGCATTGAACCTTGTGACTTCCCACAACATCTTCCGTTGTAGGTATGATACTCGTATCCTCTATTTACAGCCAACATCATGGTGTATACACATTACGAAATAAGTTTTTTGATTCGACTCCACGACATAGAATTGAAGATGAGCTTTGATACAGTACTCCTTGATTGCTAGTTGTGCCTCTTTTTTTGTTTAAAACTAAGACCCAATAGCTAACTCAGATGACCGCTCGTTTGAAGAACCCCAATGGGTAGCACATAACTATGGCATATCAAATATTTCAGGATTCTGCATAGCATCGTAGTTAATGTCATGCATAGCAACTGCATGATGATACCGAGGCAAATCATGGTGATTGATTTCAGGTTGAGGGTCTGTCCTTGCCCAAACATTTGGAGCATTCTGCAATCCTTGACATCGTGAAACAGCTGCCTCCCATACACCTGTCTCAACATCCAAACCTTGTCCCTCTAAAGCAGCCTCAAAAAATCGGACTCATCAACTAATGTTGTGCCGTCATCGTCTACCAACAGAATAATATCTTCATCATCATCGTTAAATTCGACAAGGCTTTCATCGAACCGTCCAACAAGGTTATCATCACCATAACTTGCATGTGGTTGAGAGGGTCATGCTTCTTCTGTTCTTCGAGCTGGTACTGATGTCGGAATATCAGCTGTATTCGTGGTTTTGACGTACATCTCCACCATATTATTATATGATGATTGATGAAGTCCAACCATAACAGCAACATCGTCATCGTCATCAAGCTGAACTTTTCCATATGTCATTGGATTTAAGGAGATCAGGTGTCGATAACTTAAATATGAAACATAAGCTCCAAGTTTTCTCTCAATTTTTTGCTTCATTTGGCGATGAGATACATCTTCAGGGAACATCATATTGATCGGCCTGTCTGACTTAAACACAACACCAAGATCATTTTGTTGAATTTCGCCATTATAATGAACAATTGTGAAGAATTTGTTGCTCATTGTTTGAAATGTTTTTTGGTTAGATGAAAGGAGTTTGTTGTATAAGAGATTGAAGATGAAAGGAGTGTGTTATGTAAGAGATTGAAGATGATGTGCACAACATAAAAGGAAGACATATTTTTCCCGTTGGAGCTCGTCACACTGGCGTGACGAGTTCCATTGAAATTTAAAAAAATAATTTGACTCCTGAACAACGGTAAAAAAAGTCAAAATTATACCTGTTGAAACTCGTTACACCAACGTGACGAGTTCCATGTGCATTAAAATATTATTTTTTAATTTTCTTTTAAAAAATTTTGAATTTTTTTTTATTATATTAGATTTATTCCAACTGTGTGGCTCGTTTAACACATCCCATTAAAAAATTATATCTGGCGTGACGAGTTTCATGGGGACTGTTGCAATTTCTGTAGATTCCAAATTAAATGTTTGGGGGGCAAGTGGATTATTTGAGCAATTTGGCCTCCATATGACTGCTATTTATTACCACTGAAGACTGATTTATATATATATATATATAAGCATATAAACGGTAAAGTCTGTTGCAGGAAGTGGGGAATCAACTTCGTATCTTCATAAGCCACCAAAGGTTTTAAGCAGTGTTGGTCCTTCACCAAAAAGGATTTCCTTTGGTGCTAAGAATGTCGGAATGGAAAAGGATCCAAAGTCTGTTGCAGGATGTTTTCTTGCTAACTTTTTCTGCTTAATTCATTCTCCAATTAATCTTAACGGCTGCAGATAGAGGAACTACAGTATTAAAAACTCCTTTGGGTGGTGCAAGAAACATTGTGCCTAGGTCTAAGCCATCTTCGAAATCTTCTTCTTGCTCCCCAGCCTCGACCAAAACGGAGCTGAATTTTTCTTGTTCCTCACTTGAAAGTTGCGCCAGTATTTCGTCTAACAGAACTAATTTATCTTCCTTCAATTTGATTAAGCATAAAAATGGCTCCAGAATTGTACCAAAAAGTAAAATTCAAGCAGGATGTTCAAAGCTCCCAACTATTTTGAAGTCTTCTAGCAAGATCTCTTCCGGTATATCTCCTGCAAGCTCTATCAGTGAATGGTCCTCAGAGTCGTCATCTATATCTGCTTCTAATCAAGTTCTAATGTTGCAAGAACTAGCCTTAGCTCTGGCTCCCGCAAGGGACCTGCTATAAATCGTGACACTCAATCACAGAACCATCCTACAGGTAAGTGCTCACGAGGAGATGGTGCTGAGGTTACTGGCTCGCTTAATGAAATTGAAAACAAAGTTTCAGCTGGAACTAGTAAACTTCTTCATCCAACTTCAGTGAAACCCTCCGGCCTCCGCATGCCATCACCAAAACTTGGCTTCTTTGATGGGGTTAGTTCTTATTTCTTGAAGTTTCTCCAGTCTTATACCATATCAGAAGTGGTTTCTACTTGAATTGTTTCAAGAACAAGCAGACTTTCCATATTAGAGTCTTGATCTTCTGCACAAAAGAGTATAACTAGTTTATGCCTATTTCAAGCTCTATCTTGCTTTGTTGGTCAGACTATTTGACCTGTTTGAAATTTTGATAAATGCAGGCAGGATTTCAAATCATGGTCCGAAAACGTGATAGCGTCTGCGAAATAGCGGTTTCGTCGCTGTCCGAGTTACCCGCTACACGCGCAATAGCGCCCGCCACGGCCGCAATAGTGGCCGCGACGGCCACAATCACGGAAACCGGAAATGATCGAAAACGAGACCGCGACTTGAAACCTGCAGGTACGATCATTGGGACGCACTCCGAATGGGAGTATGCTGTCTCACCCTGGTGTACCTAGTGGTTTGCCTAAAATTGGAGCAAAAAACACTAGTCCAAGTGGAATCTCAAACAAGGCAAAGATTGGAAAGCTTCAACCTGTTAGAACGCTTACTGCAATCCAAAGCCCCAAGGTTGATGTTAAGCAAATTTCCACTGCTATAAATTCGAGATCTTCCTTATCTATTCGAAAATCTCCAATTGCTGCAACATTGGCACCAAGTTCTTCAAGGAACCTCAAAACCAGCCCTAGCATATCTCCAAAACTTCAGAATAAATCCTCTCCCAGAAATGGTATTGGTTCGGCCGAAAAAGTAGCAGGCCAGAGAAGCAAGGATGGTGCTGACACAAAGGATACCAAGATTGTTCCTGTCGATGGAGAACTTGAAACAACTTCTAATGTAGCTTCCAAGTCCGATGTTGAAAACACAATTGCATCAAAAGAAGCAGCTGAAAATGACACGCACAAGAATACATACCTCAATACTAAGACAGTTTTCTTCTATGACGCCAGCAAGAAGGAAGAAGCTCCCGCCGAAGACGAAATCGACATTGTTAAGAAAGAACCTATTGCTAAGTTTGAGAACAGTTTGTCAAATGCCACTCCAACCTCTCCATCCCCAATGACCTCTGAAGTTACTTGTGGCCCAAGGGTACCTTTCTCAGTCAAGGGTTCTTTTTACAATACGGATGCATCACATGATGTATTATCAGGATTAGCAGCAGCCGAGAAGACAACCCCAGTACCATGTCTGGAGAGCATCTTTCCTGAGAATAATATCTTACTGCAGCAGTCTAGTTTCAGATTCTTTCAAGGTACCTTGGTATGTGCCTTTTTCAATGATTCTTATTTGGAACTTTTTTGATATAAGTCTTGTAGATTCGGTGATAAACTTTGGTAATTCAGTAGAACTGGTTCCCATGTCCAAATTCCACCATGTTCCGATGTGATAGATATAACGGTCCCGGATTCGAATTTCACTAAGTTTGAAACTGAAGTGTTAGTTCATGTAGGTAGTGTCTTATGAGTCGCGTTTCATAGTTTTCTAGGGCTGCAATTTATATTGTCCCAAACAAATCTTCATGAAATATGTCTGAAAATTTGCTAGTAATGGGATTTCTAGTTCTTGGAATCTTACAAAAATAATTTGTTCAGAGATCATTTGTACCACCAGAAAATATTCTCCTAAACTGAACATCATACACCATCTGGTACATATACATATCGAATGCAGGTTTAAAACTAAATAAGCTATGTCTAAGTTTGGGCATGAACAGGTTCTTCTATTGCGTTGGGGCAACAGATTGTGTGAATTTTAATATTTAGAGGATTCAAAGCGATGTAAATATTAAACATTATTATTATTATTATTTTCCACTATGTTTGAATAGGGTTGCCATAAAGGGGAATTTCCCCCCTCGTTTGGAAAAGAGAAATTATATAGCAGGGAGAATTATCAATCACGGGACTTCATCGTGTTTCATGGATGGAGAAATTTTTAATAGCATTTTTAGACTTAAATAAAGGGGAATTTCCCCCCTTGGGCATATATCTTATTTAATGCTTTTAATTCTAAACTTTAAATAAAATATGTGACAGCATCAAATTCCTGCTTGTGGAGAAAATTTTAATAACATTTTTAGACTTAAATTTTAAATTATAAATTTATAAAATATTTTACCTTCACTTTTTCATTTGACTAATTTATTTGAAAATGTATGTTATTAAATGTTTTGATATTAAGCCTAATAATATAGTGGTAGATACAATGTAATTCAGGATTAGTCGAGGTATTTATAATTGTTAATAAATATTATATAATTTCTTTTGCTATTATATATCTTTTCACCTAAACATGAGGTTCCAGAAAAGGTATAATTTAATTAAAATACGAATTCGGATAATAATGAGACAGATTGCAAACATGGATCCCTAAATAATCAATTCCAAATAAAAAGGGACTGAAAAGCACAGCATCAAAGTCATATTTCATCCCTCATTCGAACACCAGAATGCAAATGCTTGAGGAAACATTGTAAGTTTGGAACAACATTAAAGCAAAAAAACCATAAAAATTCAAACCAGGCTATTAAACATTGCTAGTAAAAATACCAATCCTTCATAATCGGATCCTCCCCTTTCCCATCTTAAGATCTAGGCTTCTCTTTCTTCTCTTTGAAGAGTGCCAACAGCGAAACACCGGAGACCTTCACAACCTTGAACCTAACACCGGGGATATCACCGACAGCATGGCCCTTTCGCCCGAATCCAGCAATCAACACCTCATCCTACACCAAACGCACCATGGTCATAACAAGGAAATCCCAAATATGCTTTAACAATAAACAATACCATATGTTTTCAATCATGTACTAACATTCTCTTCGATGTAGTTTAAGCAACCGTCGTTCGGAACGAATGCGGCAATCTTTTTTCCATTCTTGATCAGTTGAACTCTGGCACACTTTCGGATAGCAGAGTTCGGCTGCTTAGCTTCGATACCACTGCGAGATACGAATGCATTAGTAAAAATATTGAATTACAAAGCGTTAATGAAAGCAAGAGCACCGGAAAGGAAAAGAGGATCTACTGATCTAGTCTTACATCTTCTCAAGGACAATGCCTTTGGCATGGGAAGAACCAGCAAATGGCTTCTTCCATTCATTTCCAAGGTTGGATTTTTTGTAGGCTTTATCGGCCCACCTCTGCCTCCTACGGTGGGTCCTCAGCTTGCGTCCGGCTCCCATACCCCGCGTCTTCCTGAAAGAAATAATGCCAATGCCTTAAACCAAGTCCTCAAAGACTGTTGCCTGGACTAGGGCAATTACTTTATAATATGGGTATCCCATGCCCAAACTGACCAAGTTCAGATTGACATGTAATATGATCTAAACTCAATCCAATTAATCATATCTGGATAATGTAAGATCAAAGATCATAAAATCCAAAACTAAAAGAGTTTTTCTATATAATCTAATAAATTATTAGAGATGGAGAGAGTAATTCAAAACAAGACTTATTAAGGTGTAATTCTCCACAATAACTACCAGAATCCAAATTAGAAGAACTAATATTGAATAAAATGCCGTCATAAATCCCAGTCGTATTTCAGTTCAATAAGTAAAAACCTAGAGCAAAAAATGATTAAAATAAAACTTCCATTACATCTAGAACCAAAAGCGGGAACCATACAATTAAAGCTATAAAAAAAACGCTAAACAAAGAGCAGGAAAAAGAGAAGGCTTCAAGACTCCAACACCACATTTAAAAATCAATACTTGTCGTGAACAAGAACAGAAAAGCAGAACTTTCAAAGAATATGCAAGAGCAGTGTAAATAAGGAATAGAAAGGGTACATAATTGAGCTAAACAGAGAAAAATGAAACATACCCCATGTTGGCTGAGTGGTTCTTTTCAGTGGAAGGAGGGTTCAAAGAGACTGGAAGAGAAAACAAGAAGGAACCACAGCCGCCGAGCTTAAACCTTCAAGCTCCTGACCCTAGCAAGGAATCATACATATAAAATAGCATTATGACTGCTTTTGGTGGGCTTGGAGTTTTTGCCCCAAATAATATCCTTTTAGCAGTCTCTTCAGGCTGTTTGCCTCAAGTCCAAAAACTTGGGTTAGGTGTTCGGGTCGCAGTTAAAAAACTGTTTTTTTTTGTCTAATAGGGCAAACTGTTTAATTAATTAATCTAATTTAGCATATAGAAGTTTATTTGGCTATGGTCTTTAAAGAACTCGTTACGTCGATATAACAAGTTTATTCAATTAATTTTTTTTAAAATTTTTCACGTCGATGTGATAAGTTATAATAAAATATTTTTTATTAAATTTTATCATATCGGGATAAAATTTTAAATAAAAAATATTTTTTACTCAAAAAATATTTTTATTAGAACTCGTCACGTCAACGTGAAGAGTTCAAAATCACTATAATAAATACCGTAGCCTACATAAATTATTTTGTGTCGTATTGAACTAAATCATCAGTCCGCCAACTATATATAGCTAAAATTGCCCAAAAACTTTTAGTTCCAACTTTTCTAAGCCTATTGGGTCTTATTAAAACTCGATTGTTGATTTCACTATAAAAAAATATTGGGTCGGTAAATTACATGGTCACTAAAGTTTAAGCAAATTTTCATTTTTCTCATTAAAATTTTAAAAATAATAATAAATTGGTCACTAACATTATCAGTTTGTAAAAAAATAATTACTAACGTTATCGATTTGAAACAAAATTATTACTCCATCATTATTTCCGTTAAATTGATGATGTGATAGAGTTAACAAAAATGTTAATATTTAGTTTTACCCCTAAAATAATGCTAAAACATCGAATATGTCCTTGAACAATTATTTTATATCTAATTTACTCTAAGAAAATTTTAATTTAAAAATAGAATAGGCGCAAACGACCGTTTGCAGGCGATTAGCCGATTTGCAAACTTTGAGAAGGGATAGGAGACCGGAGATGTTGGTGTGAATGGAAGAGTCGGGATTTTTCATGACGTACCCGACTCCGATTTGAGCCGCCAAATGCAATAATTCAATATAAAAGCCAAGCTTTGCCCTTTCCCCGCAACGTTTTGCTCTTACTGTTGAAGAAGAAAGCGAAGCAACCCTTTCCCGTATGGCTGCATTAATTCAAGGTTTAATTCAGTTAATCGAACAAAAGGGTGAGATCTCTATGGAATCTAAGGCGTTACATGAATATATCTTCGAAGGATCAATATAAACATCTGTGATGAAGCCATTGGTAAAAGGCTAGTGAGCATGAACATGAGGTTCATGAGTTGGAGCAATAGAATCGAACTTGAGGTTGTGGTTTATGAGAAATCTATTTGAATATCCATAATAATTGCTATTTGCTAAAAGAATCCCTTAAAATCACTGGTGAACGTGATGCCGGTGGTGAGAAAATACCCAACTTTGATCTTATCATGCATCCAAACAAAAAAGAATGGATAAATTCAAGGTTTAGTAATATTTCATTTGCTTTGACAACTGTTGAAAGAGTAAACAGACGAAAATTTCATCTACTTTAAATTTCCAGGCATTTATAGTTAAAGATATCAGTTAACTGAACTGAACCTTGGATTTTATTCTTATATTGAAACAGTGCAGACATACGGTTTGGCTTTCATCTTCGACACTAAAAGCAAAGCATCATGGGAACAAGGCAACCTTCGGCCTTCTTTGAAAATGGAGTTCCTAAATGTTTGTGTACATGAAATCTCTCATGCAGTTCTCTGCGTTCTTTAAGGACACGCGAAATTTGTGTACCGATGAAATCAATCACTCTGCTGAAGGCAAAACAACGATGAAATTGACAGTTCATACTGTGCCCTTTGTCAATCTTAAATTTCCCCGGTGTCCACGGGACAACTCCTCCTCCAAGGACGGCAATGTCGTACTATTTTCAAATTAAAAAGTTTTGGAAGTAAATAAATATAAAATCATTATTTAAAGACCTATTTCATGTTTTAGCAGTAGTTTAAGGGTAAAGTTAAATATTAACATTTTTGTTAGCATTGCCACATCTTCAATTTAACATAAATAAATAAAATCAAATTAAATGAACAATTAAAACAATAAATAATAAAAAATTGAGTATTGGACTCTTTATTTTATTATCATATTATTAAAAATAGATAAAAAAAATCTAATCACTTTGATTCAATTTTTGAGTTAAAATCGTTAGATTAGATACCAAGTTTAAATCATATTTGAGCAAACTAGACTCGAATTACTTATTCAGATTACTTTCAGTTCGACTAAATTAAATACAAGTATATATCGATCAAATTAAAATCGTGATTTATTTCAATTTGCTTTGAGTTACGCTCACTTTTTCACCGGATAATCTTATAAACACACATAGAGAAACAAGATTCCCTTACACGTAAAATCGACAACTGGAAGTAATTATAGAAAAATAAGAATATACTACGTAAATATAAAATTACCGGTGCATAAATACTGATAATGGATGGAAATTGTGAGACTGAAAAACATTAAAGCAAATACATAAAACTAGAATATATATATTTCTTATATAGAGGGAGATAGGAGTCAAACCCATATAAGAAGATGTACATGCAGAGCCACCATACCAATATTAAAACTACAACGGAATCCAGGCATTCTCTCTTGTCAGGGTAAGGATCATAGGACATTTGAGGACAAATCTAGAAATACTTTTCCCTTTGGGTGCTAAGACTCAAAATTTAGAGGCCAACTCTGTTATGCGTTTAGCTCAAAAGGTCGGAACTTGAGACAATGTGTGTACACATTACAGTCAAGTTTCGCTTCTCTCACAAAACAATTATAAACTAAAATTCAAACCAAATAGGTCTGAAAATATTGGGTTAAAAGAATGATATCAACAAAACTACCTTTTCTCTCTTATTCCTCGCTCTAAAGGTATTGCAAGTGAATGAACCCTAGATAAGGGTTAACAGCTCTAAAACTCTATTCCCCTCAAAATGCAGAGCCACTGCCACCCTTGTTTTTCCTCAGCGTCATATCTTTCGCCTCATTAATCTTTGATGCAAGGAAATGACTTCCACCGGTATCGGGATGATTTGCAACCATCACCCTCCTATGTGCTTCCTCGATCTTCTCCGCTGGAGTACTTTCTCTGATTGAACACAACATATAAAAATAAGCATTTTCATGCACAGCTCATAAAACAGCATGATTGTAAAAGAAATCACTTGTAAAACAAGTGCAATATCATAAGTAAATATATTCAAAGAACACCATGGGACGGATCTATTCATTAGAGCTCGAGGGCCACTGCACCCCCCCCCCCTCAATTTTTTTTTATCATAAAAATATATAGGGATAACTACCTATTTGGTCCTTCAAGTTTTGGTTTATTTTGAATTTGTCCCTCACATTTTAATTATACTTTGCCCCCTTAAACTAGAATCCTAACTCCATCCCTGATTAGAACACTAAATGCCACAATAACCAACGGGAAAAGTAGGAAGTAAAAAAGCATTTGGCCATTGGATGATCGAAAGAATCAAAACAAGAACCCCAATCTTAAATTAGACTCAGCTCAACAGCAACAATCCTGAATGATCAATATTCATTTCATTCCTCAAAACTAGCATTAATCAAATAGAACTTACACTTATTTTCTCTATCCTTGCATTATCCTATACGAACGTCATTTATTTGCCAAATAACCACAAAATCAAACAAACACATTTCATTAAAATCAATTGTAATGATTGAAAATTTGATAACAATAAGCAGAAAATTTGATGATGCAAAAAGGGGGCTATCTCATTAATGATTAACAATCATTATCGGATGATTGAAAATATAGAAATAACAAGCTTGAACCCAAAGATTGGATCAATTAAACTCAACGTGATTAACAACCATCCCTAGGAACTAACAAACATTAATCAAACATATAAATTCAATAATTTTCCGGATAACCACAAAATCTTATTAAAATCAACTTTCAACATCAACAATTTCATAGCATAAAGCAGAAATTTTGACACAGAAAAGGGGTTATCTCATTTTCTGAAAGAGAATAGAAGAAGAGAAAGATACAGATATTACGTAACCCCCAGAATCAAAGCAGCTTCTCTCCTCGTCATACTAGGCTGAAAGCCACCTTCATAAAATCTTCGAACCCTAGCCGTCGGCGGCCTTGCCTTAAACGCCTGCCATGCTCGAATGCTATATCTCCCCGCATAAGCAGCAGCTGCCAGCGCGATTCCGGCTATCAAAGGAGCAACCTAACATAAAAATACCCCAAATTCTTTTAAGTAAATTTAAATATTAAATCCCGATCATTTTCGATATAGATGAACACGATTGAAAAGAAATTTAATCAATTTAAGGGGCTCACCATTTCTGACGTACCTGAGATACCTGTGGACTGTTGCATTCCGTTTCCAGATATGCTAGGTTTTAGGGTTTGTGTGATAAGAAAACTGACCCTCTGTGTGTTATTTATGTTATTTGATCCACCGCCACCGCCTTTTACGTATTTCCCAAGGACAATAATTCTTTTTGGTTAAAGTGTATCGCTGGTCATCAAACTATTATTATTTTGTATTTTGATCACTATATTATGTTTTATAAATTTAATCACTAATATTTTTTCTTTTTCAATTTTTGATCACTGATAATTAAAAATTATAACAAACAATTGTCCTACAATTTATACATTCCCAAATTGACTGTAATTCAAAAAATTTAATAAATTTAACTTTTAACAATTATATATTTTGATAATTGACATAAATAATGTTTAAATCAATGATTAAAACTAATTATATATTTCGACGAATTATGAATTTTTATAATAAATAATACATAATATAATATGAAAATAATTTTTATATTATATTCAATAATTAAATTATTAGTATAATGATTTTACAAGTAATAATTAAAATATATTTTATATTCAATAATTAAATTATTAGTATAATGATTTTAAAGTAATAATTAATTATTAGGTAGACTATATGTTTATTATCTAAACTATCATTTTTATTTCGTTTTAGTATCTTAATTTTTATTTTTTTTCAAAATCATACTTAATGTTTATTTTTTTATTTCATTTTAGTATGTTAACCTGCATTTTCTATGGGTTTATTATGTTATTCATCACTCAACTATCTTTTTTGTTCTTGTTTTGGTCACTAAAGTTTTAAAATTTTCAATTTAACAACTCAACTTTCAAATTGCTCTTGTTTTAATCACTCTAATTTATTTCATTAATAATTTGTGTGACATGGCATTTTTATTTCTATTTCTTAATATATAGTTAAAATAAAAAATAAATTTAAGAGTTACATTGATTAAATTATGGGTAATTTGAAAGTTAAATAATAAAATAAAAAAAAATTAAACTTCAATAACCAAAATAAGAGCAAAAAGATAGTTAAATAATGAATGATGCAACTTACCCATAAAAATGTGCCGCATACAACAACAGTCTCATTAAGTTTTTGATTGGTACTAAAACAAAATAAAGAGTACACACTAAGTATAGTTTTGAAATAAATGAAAGTTTAGGTATTAAGATGAAACAAAATTAATTAAGATACTAAATATGTAGTTTATTCTTAATTATTTAAAAAATAAATCTCAAATTTATAGAATAGGAATTAAGGTGATCAAATACCATTTCGATGGACGTATCATTCCTTATGCCCTATGGTATTGGTGAGTACTAATAGTGGTGCACATATTGGTTCAATTTATACACATATTTTAAATTATATATAGCTTAATTTATAGTAATTTTAATAAAAATATACGTTAATGATTGAATATATATGTATGTAATTATAAAAATAAAAAAATTAAATTTAGATTAGAAATATAAGTTTAATATTTACACATAAGTATTATTTTTATCACTGTTTCAAAGCTTCCTGTCCCAAACGCGTATTTACAGATAGCATATAGACGTCAAATATGGAAGTTTGAAGAAAAGAAAGAGAGGAGCATGCACCAAATGCGGTGGATCCTCTGTTCCAGCGCCTTGGATACGGATTAAACACAAACTGAAAAAGCATCAAATATCAAGCAAGATTAGTATAAAAGCAAATCAACAACAGTTTATAGCAGAGGCTTAACAACATTAAACATCAAGTCCAAAATTAAGATAGATGTTGTCCTAGTTGCAATAAAAGCAATAGCTCTCTCAAATGTAAGCCATCTCATTTCTTCTTGGCAGCAGACTTGGTAACCTTGGCACCCGTTGGGTCCTTCTTCTCAACACTCTTGATGACACCAACAGCAACAGTCTGGCGCATGTCACGGACTGCAAAACGTCCAAGAGGTGGGTACTCGGAGAATGTCTCCACGACCATGGGCTTGGTGGGAACCATCTTAACCATCCCGGCATCACCGTTTTTCAAGAACTTAGGCTCCTTCTCAAGTTCTTTACCGGACCGTCTATCAATCTTGGTCAACAGCTCAGCAAATTTGACAGCAATGTGGGAGGTGTGGCAGTCAAGGACTGGGGCATATCCATTTCCAATTTGGCCAGGGTGGTTCATGATGATCACCTGGGAGGTGAAGTTGGCAGCTTCCTTGGCAGGATCATCCTTGGAGTTCGACGCAACAAAACCACGCTTAAGATCCTTAACGGCTACATTCTTAACATTGAATCCAACATTGTCACCGGGGAGAGCTTCTGGGAGGGATTCATGGTGCATCTCGACAGACTTAACTTCAGTGGTTAGACCAGAGGGACCAAAAGTAACAACCATACCAGGCTTAAGGACACCAGTCTCAACACGACCAACAGGGACAGTTCCGATACCACCAATCTTGTAGACATCTTGAAGTGGGAGACGGAGTGGCTTGTCTGAGGGTCTCTTCGGCTCATTGATCTGGTCAAGAGCCTCAAGGAGAGTGGGACCCTTGTACCAGTCAAGATTTGTAGACCTTTCAATCATGTTATCACCCTCAAAACCAGAGATGGGAACAAATGGGATCTTCTCTGGATTGTAACCAACTTTCTTAAGATAAGATGAGACTTCCTTGACAATTTCATCATACCTTGCTTTAGAGTACTTGGGGGTAGTCGCATCCATCTACACCAGATCACAATAAAAAAGACAGTTATGGTTGCAAAAATACCACATATATCAAAGAGGGACACAGATACATCAATTACGACATAATACAATAACCACACCTTGTTGCAGCAGCAAATCATCTGCTTCACACCAAGGGTAAATGCAAGCAGAGCATGTTCACGAGTCTGGCCATCTTTAGAGATACCAGCTTCAAAACCACCAGTAGTTGAGTCAATAATAAGAACAGCACAGTCAGCCTGTGAGGTACCAGTGATCATGTTCTTGATAAAGTCGCGGTGTCCGGGTGCATCAATGACAGTGCAATAGTATCTGGTGGTCTCAAACTTCCACAAGGCAATATCAATGGTAATACCACGTTCACGCTCAGCCTTGAGCTTGTCGAGCACCCAAGCATACTTGAATGACCTTTTGTTCATTTCGGCAGCCTCCTTCTCAAACCTCTCAATCACACGCTTGTCAATGCCACCGAGCTTATAGATCAAATGACCAGTGGTGGTCGACTTGCCAGAGTCGACATGGCCAATGACCACAATGTTGATGTGAATCTTCTCCTTACCCATTATAAAACTCGGGAGAGAAACTGAAAATTGACAGCAACCATATTCACAAAACAAATCATACACATTCTAGAGCAAACTAGACACAGTTCCATTGCCTAACGTATATATGTGTGTATTTGTCAATAAGAAATAACAAATTCAACATCCGATTTAAATGAATATATAAAGAATAATTCAACTTAGTTTACAAAAGCGATTTATCCGAATTAATATTCTACAGGTTCAACAATGATAAAGAGTGGCCGCTGGGATTCGAGCCCAGGTCCTCCATAGATATGGAGTTCTTTCCACTGAACTACAGCCACTAGATCTTAAATATCTTTCTCCATAAAACCGATCAAAGTTTTGTGGTCAGAACAATATAACCTCAGAAAAAAATAGCGGACCATTTTGAAAATTTTCGTTAAGAAATTTCGCTTTGTTTGCATTTCTTTCAGTAGATCAGTTATCACATGAATAATGATCTCATAAACAAATTTATGATTTTAAATCATACAATTTAAACGAACATGGATGCATAAAAGCACATCGATCAAATCAAAACCAAAAAAGAATCAGATCGGGGACTGCGCAGAAGTATCATCCAGTAAAAAAACAATCAATCACAAAGAAGCAAATCGAACAGAGGAAAATAGAAAATAGACTTATATCAACAACAGCTAAATCACATTAAAATTGGAACTAACATATCACCAAACAACCAATCAGATCATATTTTATTTCCAATCAATCAAAACAAGTTTAGAAATGATAAGAAGCAGATGTATACCTGTAAGCTTAAAAAGAAGACTAGTTGAAAATCGCTAGACAAAATGCTCCCTACGTCGCAGCGTAAGAGAGCTTTGAAAGCATATGGTAGAGGAGGTGAAATGCAGCCCGCTTTAGCTTAAGTAGCCACTCTCCCGGCTTTGGTTTAACTAGGGTTTCTTCCTTATCCGTTGGATCATCATTAATCCAACGGTTAATATTTGATATCACACATCTGCCGGATATTCTGTTGTCGTAGGATTAGATGCCCTAACTTTGCGTTTACAATGGAAAACCCAAAGCTACCCTTTAACCTTTTGCAAAATTAAACGAGAGTTCTTGAAATACTTGAACTGATGATTTTTTTTCACCTGGAGCTGAATTAAGGCTTATAAGATTATTTAATATATTATAAAGAACTTTAAATTATTTTAATTGATTGATGTAAAATTATGATATTTAATTGATAAATATAGAATTATTTAAGACCGCATGTGCATTTGACTAATAAGAAATAAAGATTTTATGAAACAAGATTATGGTCAATTTTATCGAAATATGATATAGTATTATAAATTTTAGTCGCAGGAGTATAAAATTATCTAAAAAGATATTTTATCAAATTATTTTTAACAAAATTAATATTCTCTGGCATGTTTACATTTATGAAGAAGTAAAAATAAAATTCTCTGAAAAAATAAATAATAATTCCTTAAAATTATATAAATATAAAAAATTAAAATTATATTTACTCATCTTTTCTTTTTAGAGTCCACCCAAATCCAATACCAAAATGAAAATCACATGGCCACTTCAAATTTATTAATTATAATTTAATTCTTCATTATTCTAGTTCCGAACATAAAACTATTTAAATTCATCAATATATTTACGGTATTTTATATAAAAAAATTCGATATGTTAATAAATTGTTTATTTATCTTTAATTCATGATATGTTCTTTACAGTGTCAAACTTTAATTATATATCAAAGAATGTAAACACCTTCTTGATTTGATTATATCTACTAAGGTAATTCCTTCATTGAATTTTGGATTAAGTAATATGATATTTTTTTTAATAATTTTATATATAAAATAAT